CGCCGCCGAGGATTAACTGCCGTACCCTTTGAAATTTACTTACACGGGATCGAGACCCTTTTCTGACCCCTGGGATGAAATGGAGGAGTACTTGCTCCTCCAGCATGTGACAAATCTGCCGAAGGTATAGTGCCGCATCCTCACGGCTATACACTTTCAGACTCGCCTGGTCCACATACATGAGAACTAGTTAGAACACACATATCTCTAAACACGTTAAACTGCTTCGTGAACAGCAGGGCGTCGGCGGTGGGAACTTGCCTCCCTCAGGCGACGAAGATACGCGTCGAGCTTCCCCGCCGGGTGCACCAAGCCAGGTCTCGGTTTTAGCAGACAACCTACCGAAAATTTTTATTATGCTTCTTTCAGCACAATACGAGTCTCTGTGGTGCACAATTTTCTAGTGTTTTGACTCGCTTGCCTTGGTACTCCTCAACGTTTCTTCTTTCCCAGATCAAAGAGCACACTGCATTTTTACGTATGACCCATCCTTGTACGGAGATGGAGGAAAAATGGCGGCGCGGTCGTAATGGCGCGTGCGTTGGTTCGAGCGGCGGGAATTTAAGGCGCCGTGTCGAACGGACGTGTTATATTCTCCGAAGTTTTTCAGCATGGAGAAGAGACTGCCACGCAAGCAGGTAGGCACGACCCAGGCCGAGGAGATGGATGTCGCTGGGCCGGCGAGAAGCCAAATCCAGAGCAAGGGCAATGCCGAAGCAAGTGAGTTGAGCGCAAATACGCATGGTCAAGAAAGCGCGGAAATTGAGGACGCCGTAGCGGAATTGAGGACTGCTCTGGGTAACACCCCAAGGGCCGTTTTAATCGCACTACTCAAGAAATTGCTGGAGGAGGACGGCAAAACACAAGAGAAGAAACCCAAGAAAAAGAAGGGCAAGAACAAAAGCTCGGGCCCGACCGGGGACACTCCGGCGAACGGCGGGAATCGCCAAAGCCCCATGAACGTTGTTCCCGGGAAGATGGAAGCTTCCAAAACGCTGGACAAGGAGAGGAACGTCGATCGAGCCACCGGCAGTGGATTAGATTGCAGTTCTACACCTACTTCGGAAGAGATGGAGGCGAAAACAAGAACCGGCCAAGCAGCTCCGACCACCTGCGGGGACCGGCAGTTGGACGAAGCGCCGAGCAGCAACGACTTGTTTGCATGGCATCAAGTAACGTACAAGAAAGCGTCGAAGAGGCCGCGGGTAGACACTGAGGCGAAGCACCAGCAAAAAGCCAAGCAGCAACCCAAAAGGTATGTGGAATTGAAGGTTCGACCGGCCAAGAAGATGTCTCTCAAACCCCACATCCAATCTGTCAAAGCTCAGTGTGTGGCCTTATTGCCGCATGGAAATCAAGCCGTGATCACTTTTCACCACATCGAAAAAGCTAACGTCATTTCGGTCCCGACAGACTCGGAAGACTTAGCCAGACAGATCCTGGGGATCAAGGTGATCAAAATTAATGACCACGAAGGAATTGACGTACAAGTCTTTCGCACGTACGGGAGCAACTACACAAAAGGGATAATCTACGACATCTATCCCAAAAATCAAGACGAGAATGACCACGTTCTGAACACTGAACTAGTTTGTGAGAAGATCAACATTGTGGCAGCGCATCGGTTGGGAAAAACCAACATTGCGGTCATTACTTTTGATGGCAACACGCTTCCCAGGTCGATATTCTACGGAAATTTCTACAAAAAGGTCTATCCACACAGACCCAAAGCTGTGGTATGCAACAATTGCCAGAAGATAGGTTATAAAGCCGACATCTGCTACAACCAGGGTTGTAAAGTACCTAGGTACAAGTAACTGTAAATCGGTAACTAGGTACTTTTGTTGTACCTGAGGTACAAACCTAGGTACTTTCATTTCTCAGTATCTGTATCTGTATCTTAGATACATTTTCCAGTAACTTGTAACTAAGTGAAGTTACTTTTTACAGGTACTTTTTTTATTCACTTCGTCAAAATTGTAGAAAGTGCAATATAACATATAACTGAAAATAAATTATAATTACAGTCTTAAAGCAATTTAACATCACGTAGTGTTCGTGCACTTTACAAAACTGAAAATACCTACGTCTGAAGAAACTCCCTCCTGGTTTCTAAAATTCCCCTACAAATACTACTTCCAGAGTCACAGTTATAATTACGTGCGGAAAATAATATTGGGAGACCTTAGATATGTAAATGTTCATTTCACATAATTAAGCACAACAAAACTGGCAGGCTTCGTTGTCAAAACTTATTGCAGCAGTAGAAGGATACAAACATCAAGGGCAGATAATCGAAGCACTCGTACTCTGGCCGAACGGAGACTTCGAGCTCCTGATGTAGTCTGCCACTGATGGCTGGGCTGCTGTTATTCTATGTTGTGGAGGCCCTGTGCTACATTCGGGTCTTTCCGTTTTACCCCGTCGACATTCGTCTTGCTCTTGTCGACACTCTTTAGTGCTTCCTTGTGAGACCTTTTAAAAAAGCAAAGCATGGCTAGTTAATACTTATTGCACCGTATCAAAACAGCTCAGCGGCGCAGGACACTAGTCCAACTAGGTTTCAGCGTTAGCACTTGAGACGAAAACGATATTTCTGCCAGACGCCAAAGATGGTCAACAGCGGCGGAAAATTCCGGACGTGCGGGCATTAAAAAGGGAAAAATTGGTTGCTTCCAGTAAAACTAAAATGAAGACGGTATCTAAATGACCAATGACAAGGCAGCTTACAGATAATTGTTGTGGGTCGGTTCATTTTCTCGGAAGCCTAGTTTACCTAGCGCACCCGGACATCTTTGTAACGACTTCTTACCGTCGCTCCAGACGCCCTGAAAAATGGACTTGCACCGTAATTTTGTATAAGTATGACCAAACCTTTCTTTGTTACCCATTCCTGACGAAGACCGGACTCCGGTTGAAACGTCGAAAATAAAGTTTCCCTTGTGCTACCGATGGACCTCTACTTCGTCATATATAATATATAAGTGAAGTCAGAGTGGTGAATGGGTCGAAACACGTCGAAAACGAAGAGTGAGTTGACGCAGGGACAGGCTTTAAACAACGGTTTCGAGGGGGTCCTGCAAAGTTCTAAGTCCCAGTTATCGAACATCCGCAGTTGAGAACAACGACAAATCAGTAGCAGGCGTATTGTACGCACGAAAAGTTGCTACCCTGACGTACGACGCGACGTCAATCTCTTGGCCGACTGACGGACGTAAACGCACATAGTACGGAGCATAACAAACCTTACACAGTGATGGAAGTGCCATTTGACCTTTTGGAGCAGGCCTTGTAGCAGGCAAAATATTTTTTGGAGCAGGTAGTGGCCCTTTTGGAGCGGGGTCCGGCATATGTTGGCATATTACTTGAAAATGAAATAATGCCGCATTGCTATATAAAGCCCATCTCTATTATAGGAACACAGTGCCTGTCGCCTTTTTAAGGCAGGATATATAAAATTCAACAAACTAAACACAAAAAAAACATTTTTTAAAATGAAGTTTATCTGCTCGTCAGATAAAAAAATACAATTAAATATGTAACACTGAGTTCTGATGGTACAGGATATTTAGTTTTATCAGCCTGCACTTCTTTTCAGGTATCTGCAGCAGCATCTAACGACCCTCATTGTTGTGGAATGTTTTAGTTCAGATTAGAGTTGTTTTTTGGGCAGGAGTATCTGATATTTGCTTCGAAAATTCCGATTCATTTTCGATGTGCTGGCGAAGTCACGATAGGATCACGGCGAGTTAACCCGTTGAGTGCGCTCCTTGGCATGCACCGACGCGCTGCAGAGAAGCGACACCCGCGGAGCAGACACCACAGTCGCGCGAGTCGCGCAGTGCTTTGTGCTCCGAAGAGGACGGTGAGGCTTTACGAGCACTACATCCAGAGTTTTGTGAAACTCAACTATACTTGGCTTCAGCTTCGGTGCGAGCGCAGCCGAAGCTACAAGCGCGCGCATGGAGCCCGTAACGGTGCCCACACTGCACGAGCCCACGCGCGAGTCAGGAATGCACAGAGCATTGGGCTCGCGCTAGCTTTGACTTCGCTGGTAGCTAGCGCACGGGAACAGGGCGGGCCCATTGACACCAATAAAGCATGCTTATCAAACTTGTTTTTGTGTACATCCCAGTATACGAAGGATTTACTTCTAATAATAATGTGACAAATTTGAGAAAAATACTTGGCGTGAAAATAAAAAGTACCTTTGAAGTAACTGTACCTGCACCTAGGTACATTTTTAAGCGAGTAGCTAGATACGTACCTAGGTGCATTTTCGTATCAGTAACTGTAACTGTATCTTAGGTACATTTTTGAAGTAACTTTTACAACCCTGGCTACAACCCAGAGGTATGTGGAAGGTGTGGAAGAAGGCACGAAGAAGACATCGCGGACCAGCAAGCGGGCCACAAGGAGTGTGAAGAAGTGAGCCTATTTTGCCAGGAGTGCAGGAAGACAGGTCACATGACCAGCAGCAAGGCATGCCCGACCAAGGTTGCGGCAAACAAGAAGATGCGTGAGGATCAAGCAAGATACAGACTTCAAAACAAAGCCAGCCAGAACACACAAGCACGGGACGAGGAACGGGCCACCAAGGTCCCAGTACCGCCTAGCGAAAGGGTTTGGGCAGACAAGGTTGCACAAGGCCAAGCGCCCAAGCCGTCCGAGACCAGCGGGACACACGGCGGCGAGTGCAAATGTGGTCGCATAGAGGCGAAACTAGACAAGATGATCATGCAGTGGGAGAACTTCATGACAACCCACAAGTCCTTTTTCCCTGCAGAATCATGCTAAGAGTTCTGCAGTGGAATTGCCAGGGGCTGCGCAAGAGGGCGGCGGAGCTCAGGGCTCGACTTCTCGACGTACCATCAGAACGCCCAGATATCCTACTTCTGCAGGAAACTAACACGACAGAGATTGCATTACCAGGGTTCGAGGCGTATTCGTGCCCATCAATCACTAACAAAAGGTTTGGGAAGTATCCCACAGGCAGAGCAATGATCTATGTGAGCACAGACTTGCCACGCTGCCAAATCGACACCACGCAATTTTGCACCGACGACCAAGAAGTTGTCGCTATCAAGATTTCCTGGCAACAGAAGTATATAACGATGGCTTCTGTCTACTATAGACCGCTGCCCTCAAAGAAGCAACGCCAACTAGAGAACGGTTGGATCGCTCACCTGCACGATATGTACCCTAGAAACCATAAAGTGTACGGAGGAGATTTCAACCTACATCATCCAATGTGGGGGTACCACAATAAAAGCAGTGGAGTAGAAGATCTGATTGAGGAGATGACGACATATCAGCTACACCTGGCCAACCCGAAAGGAGCGAAGACGAGAATTGGCACAACAGGACAGAAGGACACAACACCGGACCTCACGTGGGTGGACAACCCATACCCACAACACCAGAAATGGAAATGCCTCGAAGACAGCTGGGGAAGCGACCATCTCCCAATCGTTTTCGAATTTTCGGTCAAGAGGAAGCCTGAACAACAGAAAAAGAAAAGACAGACAAGAACGATACATTGGGACAAGTACCGAGAAAAGCTGGAAGAGTCTGACCCGGAGGATGCCCCCTTCGAGGCCCGGCTAAGGAAGGCGATCGAGGCGGCGACCATCTGTAGCATTGTGGACAAGGACGCCCCCACCCCAGACTTGCACCTCCTAAAACTCTGGGCAACACGACTGCAGGCCGTAAAAAAGTACAGGAAAGGGACAAGAACACCGGAAAATAGAAGGAACATCACCCGAGCGACGGTAGAAGCAAAGGTGTACGCAGAAAAGTTGGGAATGAGGAGTTGGCTCGACCACTGTACTTCACTCTCAGAAAAGACATCAATAGAACGTTTGTGGGCTACGAGCCGAGCGATGCTGGGCAAAAAGAAGACGACCAGAGTGACACAGTCCTTAGCACTAAAGATGGACAAGCCCTAGAAGGACCTGGCGGAAATGGCGGGAGAGCTCTTTTTTCCGCAGCCACCACTGGACGCCACAGATGGGTTTAAACCATACATGATTGAGATGCTCGCCCCAGACCCAGGAATGGACAGCCCGTTCACGCCAGGGGAACTGGAAGCGCGCTTCATGTCGGAAAGGCCCATACAGCACCGGGGCCAGACAAAGTTACAATGACCATGTTAAGGAATCTGCCAGATCAATCAAAAGAAGAATATCTGAAAGAAAGCAACAACGTCTGGGCGACAGGAAAGCTGCCGGAGGAATGGAAACATTCCAGCGTGGTACCCATTCCGAAACCAGGAAAAGACAAGGGATCCATCACCAACTATCGCCCCATATCCTTGACACCCTGCACATGCAAGGTAATGGAAAGGATGGTTCTGAAGCGGATCGAGTGGTTCCTTGAAACAACAGGAGGTTTTCACGCTACGCAGACGGGCTTTAGGCCGGGGCTCGGAACGCAGGAAAGCCTCATGCTCATTTCGAAGGATATTATCAAGAAAAAGAAAAGGATGATTAGAACGATCGTCGCTATTGACGTAAAAAAAGCCTTCGACTCGGTACCGCATGCCGCAGTCATAGGAGAAGCTCAATCCTTGGGAATCTCCGGGAGACCCCTAAACTTCATCCGAAGCTTTCTCGAGGGCCGCACATACTCGGTTCGCTGCGGACGAGAGCAAGGTGGGAGGAGGACAAACAGAATTGGTGTCCCACAGGGCTCTGTGATTTCACCAATGCTTTTTAACATAGTGATGGCAGCCTTACCGCACCAACTTGAACAGATCGAAGGACTGGGTCTAACGGTTTACGCCGATGACGCGACCATTTGGACGCAGACCGGAGACCTGTACCAACAACAAGAAACGCTACAAGCAGGCTTGGACGTCATCGAGAATCACCTGCGGAAGGTGGGACTCAGTGCGGCACCGGAGAAGACCAAGTATGTGGTCCTAGCCCCTTTTAAGGAGAGGACAGAAAAGATTGGGGAGAAGATGACCCTGGTGCTGGCTGGGAAAAGGATTCTCCCGTCTCGAGAGGTCAAAGTGCTTGGTCTGGTCTTCGAGGAGACTGGTACAGGGGACATCTGGCTTCAACAAACAAGCAGACATTGCCACTCAGCGCTGGGAGTCATCCGCAGACTATGCAGCGTTAGAGGGGGAGCGACTCTAGAGGTGGCCAAGAACATGGTCAAGGCACTCGTGACATCGCGGGTTTGCTATGGCGCGAGACACTACAATCTAACCAAAGTTCAGTGGGAAAGACTCGAGACACTCAATAGGCATGCGATGAGAGTGATTACGGGCCTACCCGTTTTTACTAAAAAGATAGAATTAGAGAAATGGGCGCAGCTCAACACTTTACAGGACACGGTCCAGGCCAGGGTCGTGGCGCACGAAGAAAGACTTCAACACACAAAGCAAGGAAGACAGATCCTGGGGCTGCTGGGCAACAACCTAGAAGACCTACCAAACCTGCCAGAATGGCTTCCGCCGTGGGAAGACATGGCAGACATCACCGAAAGGAGGCCTCTTAGAGACAAGAAAGGGGACGAAAAAAGGAACGAGCGGATTGCCAAGGCACACCGGAAGATGGTGGAGCACTGGACCGACCCGAGCGAGATCCTGGCAGTATACACAGACCACGCAAGAGACGACACGCCGACGCCCGCTGGGGCAGCGGCGTTTCTCGCCCCCGCTGTGGAGGTCACGGAATGCTGCCAACTACCCGCAAGAACCACTATTAAGGGAGGAGAGCTCGAAGCCATCCTCCTGGCTTTGAACCTCTTCGCGCATCAACGGCAAGACCTACGCCCGAGGGAGCTCAGGCTCTTCACAGACTCCAAGGAGGCGGTACTAGAGTGTAAGAAAGCCTCCAGCGCAAGCAGGAAGGTCAAGGAAATTAAGAAGATGGCAGCCGAACTACGTCAACTTGGCACCACCATCAAGATAGGTTGGATCCCGGGCCATGCAGGGATCCCCGGCAACGAAAAGGTGCATCAACTCGCTCGCGCGGCGCTCGTTTCTTTCCGCGAGCGAGGGGGAGCACCCACATCCTCACAACCACACGACCACGGATACGCCTCACCCGGTAATGGGAAGACGTTATGTGATGACGAAGAGTATGATCCTGACGAGGAGAGGGTCCTAATCAAGGAGAGGTACAGGACAAGATTGTGGGAACGCCTGCCCCAGACGCCCGACCTTCTACCGAGAGGGATCGGAAGAAGGGACAAGGTCCTCCTCACCCGCATCATGGCAGGCGCCACCCGCTCTCCGGCACGCATGGCCGCATGGAGCAAAGGAAGACGCTCCAGCACGTGCAACAAATGCACGAACAACATAAAAGGAGGCATGACTCATCTCTTATGGGAATGCCCCTACTATCAACAAATTCGGACCAAGTTCAAACCCATATATGCCCAGAACCTGGATGACTGGGTTCACCCAAAGAAGCCATCAGACAAAGAAAACGGCCAGCTTAGTCTCCTAAACTTCGTGCTAGAAGCGAAGCTGGACGTATATGTGTAGATTCTTTTCTCCTTCATACTCTTTCCTAGCGCCACATGCCCAGACGAAGATGTCACTCGGCATACTCCCCTCACCCTCACCCTATATTTGTGGCAATAAAAACGCCTTTTGAATCTGAATCTTGTACGGAGATACGTCGGTCGAGGCGGCGCGGCGCCTGCGCCACATTTCGCGCTCGTCGCGTTGCGCCATCTGTCGGCAGCATATCGAAGTAAGCCAGCGCCATCATCCAATGCGGTCGTCCTGCAATCAGAGATGGCAGTAATGACATTACTGTGATAGAATTACTGTAATTAAATTACTTTTTGGAGGGATGAGTAGTGTAATGAATTACTTTTCTAGGCTAGTAATTTAGTAATGTAATGAATTAATTTCAGGCAGTAATTTTGAGAAAATTACTCATTAATTTTGAAATTACTTTTGTCCTAAATTAGAAGGTTTGTTTTCAAGCATTAAAATAGAAGAGAAAAATTATTTTGCATGGTGACATATTGTGAAAGAGCATCAGAGGAAATAAACGACGGCCACCTGAGCGCAAAGCGTCGTACGAAGAGCTGGACAGGCGCACAAAGGAGGGCTGCAAAGGCGAAGGAAAAAAGCTTACGTGTAGACATAGCTGGAAGGCAACGGCTTACGAACTCCAGGCACGACAGATTAACGGCGTCGCATCATCACGACGATACTATACTTAGGTCATCCTTAAGCTGACAATGCGGTGGGAGCTGCAAGCTAACCAGAACCAATCAAACACCCTTTAATCACCTGCCCCGTCCCTTTTTCTGCGCGTGGGTATGAACGAGAGAGTGGTTACGTGGCGAACGACAAACGTGTGACTGCTCCAATAAACATGTAGCTTGCACCATTCATCCCCAAGCCGGCAGTGCGTCAGCTTAGGGATGAACGGCTCATAGGCTACAAGGCGACGGGCACATCACCAGTGAGTTAAACATAATTTAAAACCTGGAAGGACAGGAAAAACAGATCCCCAGCCTTCTACTTTCGTCAAGCAAGGTCAAACCGTAAGCTTCAACCATTGTGAACAACAAACGATCGGAATAAATAGTTAATTCCAACTGCCTTGAGACCCAGAAGGCTTCGTGCGCCCTCGAGCAAAGCAGGTGCCGCTCGCGGTATGCCTCGCTGCCTTCCCTTAGGAAGTTTATTCGGGAACACGCCTACAAGCAGATATCGCCCCCGTTTGTTGGGAAAGTGCACAATTTAGGAAGCTCGCGCCATTCCTCAACTGCTTAGCAATTATCCAGGCCCTTTGTGTGACAATGCGCAAAAACTTGGGCTCTTCGGGTGTTTGGGAAAAATGCTCCTTGAAGGAAATGACCGAGAACAGGTCAACTATACTTGGCTCGGCGACAAATTTTCTTGGCAATGCAGGGGGGGATACAGGCACGCGTTCCCTCTCTCATTTTGAGCGCTGAATAAAGCTGTGCGCGGGCTCTCCTCCTCGCCCCGGAAATGCAAGAAAAGCTGTCACCGAGTAAAGTACTCTTGGAATAATAGAATTAGATTACCGCATTTTCCGGGCTATAGTCCGCGGACTATACATGTTTATAAGTTGAAATTTCTCGCTGTGCGGTCTATCTACGCGTGCGGACTATACAGGAATTATGTTTTTCAATATCGTTGATTATGACAAGACGGGATGGATTTTGTGAATAAAAGAGTATGTTATTGATAATTTATGTATATTATAGGCTTTTTTTGTGAACTAAGAAAACATACATATGTCAAGGTGTGCCGCGCATGAGAAGAATTTCGTGTCGACTAAGCACCAGGTGCGGACTATCCACTGGGTGCGGACTATGCAATGGGTGCGGACTATGCAGCGGGTGCGGACAATCTAAGCAAAAACTTTCATTTTTGACCCCAAATTTTCCTCTGCGGACTATACACCGGGGGCGGACTATAGTCCGGAAAATACGGTACGTCCGAGGCGGAAGGAAAACGTTTTACGTGACGACTTCTTGTAAGAACGAGCTACTACCATTGCCCGACTAAAGGGGTTACGACACGCCAAAAATAAAATATGAGATAACAATACTGCTAGGACCCATTAAATGTTCCTATCATCCCGTTAAATTTGTTCTCAAAATGGCGCGATAGTTTCGTGGATAAATCGATTTATATGTGGACCCGAACCAAACCGACCCAACTCGACCCGACCCGACCCGACCCGACCCGACCCGACCCGACCCGACCCGACCCGACCCGACCCGACCCGACTCTAACCGGCTCCTGCATAACTACGGTTCATGAGCGTCGGATCGGGCCCGATCCGTCCCTTTCTGCCCGAGCTCGGCTGTTATCTGTAACATGAGCGCGACCCGAAGCTGAGAACCTGGCTTTTTTAACAAAGAATGTGTTTTATGGCTGCCTCCAAGACAGTGTACGTAACGCGTTACAAGTAATGAATTACTTGTAATCGATTACATTTTACTGTAATTTTGGAACGCTTCAATTACTTCCTTTGAGGAGTAACAATCCCTGTAATTGGATTACTTTTTTTTGCTGTAATCAATTACAAAATTACTAATAACAATTTTTCTCAATTTCTTTTTTTTAGGGGGGGGGGGGGGGGTTAGATGTACTCTAGTCACTCAGCTCTAGGCTCCGGTCTATTTTCGTTTTTCTTATTTGAAATCACTAAGTACGGGACCTCGAGGATTAGTAGGCCACTTCACCAAAATTCGTTTCATGGGTACTGTTTTTCTTTCTTTTTTTTTTTTTTTTTGGTAAAACGGAGATTACGTCTGGGTATGAAAAGCGACTTTATCCAGCTTCTTGAGAGTAATGTATTTAAAAAGTGCTCTTTTTATTTATTAATTTTTTTCACGAGAGGGACTGGGTGTTTTGGCTTCACCCACTCAGCTCTAAGCAAAAACTATCAAGGCCTTCTTTTTCTCCGGAACAATTGAGCGCGAGACCTCAAGGATTATGCTACCGTAATAAAAAAATGTTGAATGAAAAGTAACGTAGGAAGTATCGATTAATTTAGAGTAATTTTCGATTACTTTTTGAGGCTGTAATTGTAATTGTAATTGGTTACTTTTTACAGTGAAGTAATTGTAATTGTTACCTTTTTTTTCTGTAACGTGTACAAGTCTGCTCCAGGCACGTATACGGGGGGGGGGGGGGGGGGGGGGGGGGTTCCATGGGGTCCGGCCCCATCCCCCGAAATCTTTCATTTTGCTGGGGCCTCTCTCCCTCCTCCCCCTCATACCTCATTTTGTCATGGGCGAGCGCCCTTCTGAATAAAAATCCTGTCTACGTGTCTGGCTACCTCCAAGCATTTCTTTAAACAGAATTACCTCATTCGGTCATTTTTGGGGACCCAAGTAACTACTTATCACACAAAAATTCACAAAAAACATTAGGCGAGAAAAAGCTTGTTGGAGCCGAACCCAGGACCCTCTTGCTGTGAACCTCAAGCTCATCGAAAAGGTAGCAAGGTTGAAAGTTTGTAGCAAGATGATCGTGGTCTAAATAGGGACTGACAATTATGCGTACGAGAGCGGTTTTATTATGCAGTCCTCGACTGATGTTCGGATCAACACACACCTAATTTTGTTTTAGTACTACTACTACGATAGCTCGGAATTTACAAGACACAATTTAACGCAAACCAAATTTCTTTCCGCCTAAAATTATACTCTTTAAAAAAAAAAAAAAAAAAAAAAAAGGCCAGCGAAGTTTTTTTTTTCTTTCTCGCCAGGAACTGTGTATAGATTGATCGTCGGAATCTAAAAGGTCTTTCTTGATTAACTAGCTATCGTTACTTTTTCAAGTGAGGAAAACAAGAAATATGTGACTATGCAATAATGTAATTCACGGGCAAGGAAAATTTTAGGAAATGAGAAAAAGATTTTCAATGAAATGGTTCTTCTTTTGGCATCATTTAAAAATTCCCGCTAATAAAATCTAGAGCACGAGTTATCCTGCATGGGGAACACAGACCAGTTCGCGACAAGCAATCACCTACTGATCAGTAATCGCCCACTTGTTGGGTGTGCAAACCAAGCTGTGAGAGGATATATTTCTTCACGGCTTTCAAAGGTAACATATTTCTTCACGGCTTTCCAAAGTAACATATTTCTTCACGGCTTTTTAAGGTAACATATTTCTTCACGGCCTTCCGAAGGTAAATAAGAGAACATATCCCATATAATGAAACTTGTAATATAATCTTTGATTATAGTGACATCTACATGCCATCGTAAATAGTCAGTGTGAGCATGTTTTGCATTAAGGCCGAACCACATAGGGCGTATTTTCCACGTATTTTCAGGTGTTTTGGCCGTCGTAACCCCAACGTATAGCGGGCGTCGGGACCAGCGCTTCCTCGACGCCTGAAGGTCGGCCTAAATTCGCGCATATTCGGCGTTCCGACCGAGACAGATCTTGTCGCTCCGGCGTATTTCGGCGTAACGTATCCGGAAGCGCACGGCGCA